TCTTAGGAGAGGAAACCTGAAGCATAGGGTAGGAGCGTGTATCTTGCCTACAACTTACTTTCAAAGAGTTTAGCAAACATGTATCTATACCTGCGGGTGAAGGAAGGCCACAATGTGTCCAGTAATAATTGGTGGGGCCAGGTAAAAGGTTCATTTTGTCTTTTTTCCTTTTCTTTTCCTTCTTTTTTATTATTTATTTATTTATTTATTTATTTATTTATGTTGTTGTTGTTGTTGGTTTGTTTGTTTTTTGAGTTAGGGCCTCACTATGTAGTTCAGACTGACCTGGAACTCACCATGTAGCTCAGGCTGGTCTCGAATTTACAGCGATCCTCCTGCCTCAGCCTCCCGAGTGCTGGGATTACAGGTGTGTGCCACCACACCCAGCTCTTTTTTCCTTTTCTGTTTCTTCTTCTTCTTCTTCTTCTTCTTCTTTTTTTTTTAACCCAGGCCCTTTACACTGAACTACATCCACAACCACCTTTTTTGTAGTTGTTTTTTGTATATTTGGAGACCAGCTCTCGATAAGTTGCTAACTTGCCCAAGCTGGGTTCAAACATGTTGTCTGCCTGCCACAGCCTCCCAGAATGCTTGGATTACAGGGACATACAGTGGACCCTCAAGTCAGAACTGGCCTGACATATGAGCGACTTGGGATAATTAGGTTAACAGAAGATTCATCTGCCTCTTGTTAGCTATAGCATGTACCTAGGTAATATCCAGAGCTCAGCAGTATTGAATTACAACCAACTTGAGTTACAACCCACCCTCAGGAACCAATGGAGTTCAAAAGTCAAGGGTACACTGTGCCACCATACCTGGTCCATTACATAATTCTTTCACCTTTTCTGTATATTTGAAAACTTTCCACAAAACTGAAGTTAATTTGGGGAATTACTGTGAACACCTGTACTTATAAATAGATGAAGTCCACTGGGGAGTCCCACCTGAGATTAGGAAGCTTCATGGAATTGTGTGTAACTGCATCAGGGTGAACTGAGATACAAAATTCCAGCCCTAATCTAATTCTAACCCTAGAATTAGAACAAGCTGATGATTAATGAAAAGAGATCACCCCTGACTAATGGAATCCTCTGATGGAATTTAAATTTTTTTTTGCCTGGGATAGTGGTACACACCTGTAATCCTACCACTAGGGGATGCCAGGACAGGAAGATGGCAAGTTCAAACCCAGCCTATCTCCAAAGAAGAAGAAGAAGAAGAGGAGGAGGAGGCGGAGGGGGAGGGGGAGGAGGAGGAGGAGGAAGTTGTTGTTAGCCGGGCTTGATGGCACATACTTATAATCCCAGCACCTGGAAGGCTGAGGCAGGAGGATCTCTGAGTTCAAGGCCACCCTGAAATACATAGCAAGGCCCAAGACCTATCTCAAAAAAAAACAAAACAAACCTTAAGAGATCCCCTTCTGAAAAAATGAAAGCAACGCTTTTGTACATAGGGAGGGGATAAGGCTTTAGGGGTGAAATGGGATAAAAAAAGATTCTTTCCCATCTCATAGTCTATTTTCCTATTTTCTATCATCTTTTATTTTGTTCAGTAAATTATTTAAAATTTTGGTTTCTTCTGTAAGAGAAACCATTTAATATTTAACCTCCGCAGCTGACTTATTTATGTGCAGAAAGGCTGGGGGTGATTCACCACGATGGATGTGGTATTGATGTATTCCAAATATATACTAATGAAAAGGGGGTGAGAAGCATTAGAAAGCGCAGCTTTTTGAAGAAATAATAAGATATTTTAGCTTCGGGAGGGGTCTAGAGACCTAGGGGTCTCTCAGGGCATGACCCCTGTTCCTCTGGCCTGTGCCCTCCCTGCAGCGAGGAATGTAGGAGGGGCAAGGCTGGCTCCAAGCTGAAGATTCCCCAAGCAGAGAAGGAGGAAGAAACTCAGAAGTGAAGTAGCACGAAGCACGAGTTTATTCGTATGATTCACACGAAGGAAGAGAAAAAGCTGCCAACGGACAAGCCACCAGCTACACAGCGGGGAGAAGCGAGACATGCGCTCCTCTGGATGGGGCTGCTTGCTCTGCTCCTTCTTACGGAGATGCTAAGCCAGTCAAGATCTTAGCCTTGGTTGCTAGGGAGAGCTGCTGCCTGGGTGAGCTAAAGTTCACAGTCTGTGTATGGCTTTCTGTACTTGCAGCAGGCTGGTCCCAAACAGTAAGTGCTCCGCACCTGCAAAGGTTTCACAAAGGGCAATCTCTTCTAGGAGGTGGATGGTCATTTCAACAGCCATTTGCCACATCGCCCACTTTATGCCCTACGTCCCTGCCCATCCCCTATTATCACAGGATGGGAAATAAGCCATTCTATGGAACAGGAGTCTTGTTTCTACCCTCTTCGGGGTGGACCCTTGGCTGGATCTTGGCCTGTTGCTAAAGATCTGGTCCTGTGGGCTGACGGGGAAATTTGGGCAGGCATGGCAACCAGCACTAGGATGGACCGCGCTGCCTGCACCGAGGTAGGTGTCAAACCAGACTGTCAGCTCTAAACCACAAAGTGCTTCTCCCTGGGTCCCTTCTGATCCTACATATAGAAAGGTGTAAGTGTAGACTAAAAGTCAGGCTTCAAGCTGGGCAGAGGCTACGTGTCCTTGTTTTATCCATGCCACAGAGGAACTGCAGCAGGTGTCATAAAGGGAGTTTATTTTGCTAACAATATTGGGATTTGAACCCTAAGCTATATGCTCAGCCCTTTTTTAAAAAATCTGGGACACAGGGTGGGGATTTGGCTCAGTGGTGTACCACACCTGCCTCATGCAAACGCCAGGGTCTTGAGTTCGATTCCCCAGTACCAAAAACAAATTTTGAGACACGGTCTAAATTACACAGGCTGTAAGCTTCCTGCCCCAGACTAAGTACCTGGGATTACAGGTGTCTGCCATTACACTGGCTTTTATGAAGAAATGGATGTATTTCATTATGCCATGAGAGAGGAAAGCAAGATTTCTCCAACTATACAGGGTCTGTTCAGGTTGGGAGATTATTCCTGGACGTGTCACCACAGAAGAGGGATCCAAAAGGGGGGAAAATAACTGAGGGTGGCTTGGGAGAGGAAAAGGGCAATGAAATCATGTCTCCCTGGAGCACTGGAGTTTTGGTAGTGGAATCTCGGTTTCTAGAAAGCCCTTTAGTGTGATAACACAAGTGTCTGGCCAAGTTACAAGTCGGGAAGTGGGACCATTTGTCTAAGACCTGGACTTGAAGAAGATTAATGCCTGCAAATATCACCCTTAGGGTTTAGAATCATTTTAGATTAAGAAGAAGAACTGAATTGGACTCTCCCCAACTCCAGAGATACTAGGGATTGACTCAACAGTCTTCACAGTGAGCTACATCCCTTAGCCGTTCTTTTTTTTGTTGTTGTTTTGTTTTTTTTCCCAGTACCAGGAATCAAAATCAGGACCTTGTGCTTGCAAGGCAAGTGCAGTGCCACTGAGCTAAATTCCCGGCCCCTTAGCCATTCTTTTATTTTTTGAGACCGAGTCTTATAAGTCACTAACTTGCCAGAACTGAAAAAATTACTGAGGCCCTGTTTTAAAAAAATTATTTTTAAGACAGTGTTGGGGAGCCAGGTGTGGAACCACACATGTGTAATCCCAGCGTGCAAGAGGCTGAGGCAAAGGACTGCCGCAGCTGAGGCCATCCTGGGCTACACAGTGAATTCAAAGCCAGCCTAAACTGCATAGGGAGCCCCTGTCTCCAAAAAAACAAGTGTTGGTAGTACCAACAACAACAACAAAATAAACAAACAATAAACGGTTACAATGATACCCGCTTGCAATTACCAGCACTTGGGAGGCTGAGGCAAGAGAATGGTTGCAAGTCTGAGGCCAGCCTAGACTACTCAGTGAGTTCAGCCAAGGTCATCCTGAACTATTTAGCAAGACCCCGCCTCAAAACAAAAAAAGTGCTGGCATGGGGATAAAGCTCAGTGTGAAGGCACTGGGTATATCCTCAGTACAATAAGTGAATGAAAGTAAAATAAAGCTAGATGGGGCAGCACATACCTGTAATCCAAGCACTTAAGCGGGGTTGGAATTTGTAATCCTCTTGGCCTCAGCCTTCCTAGGAAAGTTAGCAAGACACTATCTCAAAATAAAAGCTATATCCAGATAAATAAATACATTTTACAGAAAAAAGTATTAAAAACTATAAAGGACTGAGAATGTACCTTAGCGTGGAAGCTCTGGGTTCACTCCTCAATACAGCAAAAACAAACAAAAAGTATTACTAACAAGTTCCTCCAGGATGCTGAGGGTGCTGAACTTGGACAATCACTACTGCTCTAGAAGAAGACAGCTCTGGGGGCTTCCACAGCCAACATCCACAGCTTCTGTTAAAAGGGATGCGGGAGCCAGGCGTGGTGGCGCACGCCTGCAATCCCAGCACTCGGGAGGCTGAGGTAAGAGGATCGCTGTGAGTTCAAGACCAGCCTGGGCTACATAGTGAGTTCCAAGTCAGTCTCAACTACATAGTAAGATCCTGTCTCAAACCTCCCACCAAAAAATGCGGGGGTGGGATGTGGGGAAGCATAGGAACTCACTTGGCATCTGACCCATGAAGGCACACGTTGGCAGGGTGGATGGACCAGTGGCTGGGAAGCAAGGTAGCCCACATCTTGAAGGGAGACGATATAGATTCACAGCAGTGTATTCTGTACCCTCCCACTGTCTTCTGCATCCACGGTCAAAGCATTGCTGAAACCTTCTGCTTGATCTCAGCCATGCTATGGATGTCAGGAGAAGGGGCTGGCGAGTACATGAAGCTTAAAGAGAGAGCAGCTGGGGGCAACCTGCAAGTACAATGGGGTCCTTTGCCATGGGGGGAAGTTGTGGCAGAGGACACATCCATACTTGGGACAAAGCTGGACGCCCACACCGAGACTTAATGTTTGTCTTTGAAATAAGAGAAACACAACTTTTGATGATACCTTTTAATTTCATGGGCCACAAGAACCCACAATAAACAGCCCACGGGTGGGTCACCACCACGTGAAGGTGAACAAACAGAAGGGGTTCTCAACCTGGTAGCAAAAATATTGTTGGTACAGATGAGGGTACAGCTGCTTGAAGGAAACATCATTGTAGTTATCATAGGATACCTGGTACCCCCAGGCCTTAATGTCTATCTCCAGGCACTGCAGAAGGTCCTTCCTGTCACAACCTAATTTACAGGGCCCAAACTTGACAACCGGTATCTTTTTGGATGCCAGGTAATATATAGGATCTGCACACCGTGCAGACTGCTCCTCGCTGGACACCACACACACCACCACCTGCGATGCACGCCTCCCCACAGCCTCGGCCCGGGCCAGCCGCAGCAGCAGCTCCAGGTTCTCGCTGTAGCTTGGCACTTGCAGTAAAAACTGCTTCCGGGACACCTGCTCGCCAAAGATCTGAGGCATGTCCTCCAAGAGCTTGACCAGAGGCTGGATGGCGTAGAACTGGGCCTCACGGTACACCTCGGGGACATGCTGCTGGGGCACCTGCCCGCTGCGCAGGTAGTCCAGGATGGGGTGGAAAAAGGTGCCGGGGCGGTCGATGAAGAAGCGGCCTTCGGCATCCTTGCAGGCAGACGCTGGGCTGGAGAGCATCTCCGCCAGTCTGGAGCCCGGGACTTTCCTCAGGGTGTCTGCGGTGGTGGTGAAGACCTGGCCTCCCACATTCAGCTCTACAACGGTAGATACCTGGGGGCACAAACTCACGGTGAGCCAACAGCACCACTTCCAGGAGGGTCCTGACTTATTTTCATCCAGACAATAACCGGAACAGGATTTGGGGGAGCTTGAGCAACTGGTTTTCACCATGACCAGCAAGGTGGACATTTTAAGGAGGAAAAGGTGTCAGTTTGATACCAGAATTCACATCAACACCCCCCACCCCCACCGTGGTGGTACTAGCAATTGAATCCAGGCCTTCCAACTGAGCTACAGCCCCCACCTTTGGTACCGGGGATCAAACTCACGCTCTTGTGCGTGGCAGTGGAACCACTGAGCTAAATCCCGGATACCCGCTTTGTAAAGATTTTTAGTAGTACAGAAGCCAGGCTGGAGGTGCATACCTATAATCCCAGCAGTTGGGAGGCACAAGCAGGATAGAGAGTTCAAGGCCAGGCTGAATTACACAGTGAGACCTTGTCTCAAAAAATCCCTAAAGAGGGCCGGGGATTTAGCTCAGCGGTTTGGTGGCCTGCCTCGCAAGTGCAAGGACCCGAGTTTGATCCCCAGTACCCAAAAAAAAA